TGTTTTATCAGTAATTCAACGTGAAAGGTGTTAGCAATGATTCTTTAAGCTAGTTTTTTTAGCTGTATAGTAATTTTGGTCTGTTATTCGGTTTTATAACGAAAACATTTCAGTGGTGTATGGAGGGTAAATGTGTTGAAGTTCCTGACCACATACTGCGAAAAGTTGACGGAGGTTGGAGTTCTTGGAACGATTCTCCGTATGGAAATTGTCTTTCCGGATGTGTAACCTGTTCAATCCAAAATCAGATTCGTCTGAAACGTTCCTATCGACAGTGCAGTAATCCATAGTAACTGATTTAGCTAAATTAAAAAGCAAACTACAATTATCGCAACGTCTAATTATTTTATCGTTATTTAATTTTTGAAAACATTTTATTGAACTGAATTTTTTAAACATTAGAACTTTAAAAATTTTTACAAATTTATTTCGCAGAACAAAAGAGTTTTCTTCATTATATTTGCTTTGTACTGTTCTATAAATGACATAAATATCTGAATAAAAATACATTGATCACTATAGTTTAGTGTTTCAACTCCTATAAACATTAATTTCAAATTTCAGTCGAAATAACAAAGGTCGAGACTGTATCGGTGATTCGGTTCGAGGTATCGTCTGTAGCAGTGAGGTAACATAGCTATTTTGTTCTCGTATTGATTGAAAAGTGTAATACTTATTATGGTCTTAGTTAGCTGGTAAGTTCAGTGAATCGAGCAAAAAATTTTGAGCATAATCAACCTAGCAGCAAACTACCTTTTACCACAATTTTTTTCATAATGCTTCTTTTTTATTCTCAATTCTGCAGTAAAAAAAAAAAATTTATTTATTATTTTTACAGTTAATAATGCAAAAAAAGATGCAGCTAGTACCTTCAATAAAAGAACTGCTTTGATATTCTTGCTACAGAAAAAATATATTTTTTTTATAAAATATTAGTTGCATTGAACATTAAAAATTCTACAGCATTGTTTTACTAAGTTTAGAATACTTTAAATGAAAATATGAGTAGACCTCCAAAAAAGCTGCTATTTTTTTCTCACGTCTTTTCAACAGCAAAGAAAAAAAAGTTACAATAATTTTTCTTTTTGTTCAATTTTTACAAAAACAAAAAAAATTGGTTGATAAAGTTATAGTTGCAGGCTGAAGTGATTTTTGAATCTGCTATAAACGTAGAAATTTTTAAAATGCAACTGTTTTATGATTTAAGATTAAAACCTAAAACAGAAGATATGTAAAACACAAGGTTTTTCTATTGCATTTAATTCTACTGTCAAATTATTGCAGCTTTCAAAGAGCTAAAAGGATTATCAGATTAGAGATGTTTTAGAAATGTAACGGCCCAACACCAGAAGAATATGCAACAAGAAAATGTGCTACCTTTAGATTGAAAAATCGTGATTTGTCGAAAGAACTAACAGGAAAAGGATATCAGTTTGAAAAGGCAATGTGTAAAGTTTGGTAAGACCAATTGCCATTTTCGGTACCTTATTTTTCTTAAACTATTTTGTTGCTGAAAGGTTTCTAATTTCTGCATGAGAATCATTTTTTTAGGTGTCTGACTTGGAAAGAACGAATACGAACTATTGAAAATTTTCCGGATGGAACACCTTGTGGAACAAATAAATATTGTGTTAGAGGAGAATGCAGGGTGATTATAATTTTATCAGTTTTTACTGTAATAATTAACAAAAACTATTGTTCATTCGAAAACTTCCAATTTTTTTTTGTTTATGCTCTAAACACTCTGAGTTTGCCTACTAATACCAGACTTTTTCATTTGTTAGAATTTAAAGCATTGTTGATTTTGCATACGAGAAAAAAAAACTACTTAAGTTGTTCAGAAGCTAAGCTGTAACGGAAGAGCAGTAGTAGAATCGGAAGACGATTGTCCTCTAACATCGACCACGACTGACAGTTCTTCAGTAATTAAGGCAACAATAGTTGAACATGAAAATTCACAAATTTTTGGTGAATATGCAAGTATCTCAATTAAATCTCTTCCTAATTCTACAGGTCTGAATTTAATACTTTTAACAAACCAATAATAATGCCGCTAAAAGGCAATATTTTCAGACATTGCTCTTATTATCTTCAAATATTTTATTTGACAGAGTATACTTGTTATCTTTTTGATGTCATCTAAAATTATGCTATATTTTTTTGTGCGAAAAACAAATTTAGCAACTTTTACTGATTTTGCAAAATTTAATCTCCTCAGAAAAGGAATACTGTTCTAGAAAATATTAAAATTTTGGTAATTTTTTATCATTTTTAAAAAAAGTGGATAAAACTTGTGCTTATTAAGAAACTTTAATGAACTAGATCGTAGTATTAAAAAAAGATTATAAAAAATTAAAAAAGAAGAAAAAAAAGAAAAAAGAGGAATGACAGGTAGCATGAGAATATTTGCTCAGGTGATTTTTAGATACACCGTAAGCAATTCACTTTTATAAAGATTCTTTCATGGCTAACGGACACTTTCCTAAAATGAAGAATTACCACGGTAGTAATCCTCCTACACTTCCAATAAGGAGCTTTCTAGTAATATGATAATCTCACTGTGAGTAGTAATTTAGCCCTTACTTGTCACAGTATTAACCAATAAACTGTAACCTTTATTAATTTGAGACTCTCAATTTCCATGTGTCTGACCTTCTATAGCCTAACGGTTTATGTACCTCTCGAGTAATACCTTCTTACTATGTCGAAGCTCTTTCTTACGGTTCAATTCTTT